GGTCCTCCTTTGCATACAAAACCCTGGGAAAGGGGGCAGGTCTAAAGATTCTAACGATGATTGTCAAGTTGTTGGCCCTATGATTGCAACCCGAGGGAAGCTACTTTATTGCAAAATGCATGGCTTAAATAGATTCATGCAAACTAGCAGTGCAAGAAAAGGAATTCAAATCTCCTGGCACTGCCGTGCCAGCACACAAGTATATTGTGCCCCAACCCAATTTTGGCTTCTGTTTGGAACATCCCAAACTTTCACTTGTGTTTACTTTTATAAATTCTGCCTGATAATTTTTTTTCAAGAGGGCAAAATAGTTGTGCTGTTGTAATTCCATTTCCAAATGCTTCTGATGTACTGAGATACTAATCTCTTAGATTTAAAAAGAGTCTGTTCCTCTGCTCAGGGGTGAAGTTAGAACAAAATTTTTGCAGATATGAGTTTTAAAGAGTTTTTATTTCCATTTTCTATAACCTGGTAATTGTCCTTTATGTTGTAGCTAAGTACATTATTTCCACTCTTTTAAGTAGGAATGATACCTCGCATATCTTGGGTTTCTAACTAGCAGAGTTCGCCAGCAATTAAAGTGTCTGTTTTGTGTGTATGTGGGTGTGTTTTACCTTTACAAAGCAGACTCTTGCTGTTGTAAGCAAATTAGATGCAAATATGCTAGTAATTTCATGGAAATTGGTGTAATGTTTTACATAGAGCTGCATAAACCTTGGCAGCTATGACCCTCAACTGGAGGAGTCTTTAGGGAACTCGTGTGCTTGGTGTTTTCTACACTCTATCAATCACTTTCCTCCTGCTCTGCTGGCCTCAGAGCTTAGCCTGAAGGTACCTGCAAACTAAAATAATCATTGTGGATTGCAGGGAGGGGACATAGGAAATTGGTAAACTTTGAACAATACGAAGTTTACATTTCATTTGTAAACAGGATTCGGATATTTTATATAGCTCAGTTCTGGTTTAGGTCTATCTTAACATGCAAATAATTAAGTATGTTGTGATTCTTTTCTTTGCATTAAAACTCAGTCCCTTTTACTCCATTTAACAGTTGTTACTATAGCCTTAAAAACCCAATTCTACACTGTGTAAAAAGATAATAGTCATCCATTTATTCAACATTTATTTTAACAGCAAAAAAGAACAGCTAATACTCCATAATTTTGTCCTGCTGTGGACACCTCATAAGAAAGCTACTTGAACTTGCATTTAATTTTATTTGCTCTCTGTACTTTTGACACATTTCCCTCAGAAGGTTCTTTCATTAGATTGCCTTCCCCACCCTATGGTATTTCTTGACTGGTGTGTTGACTAGAATGATTTATATTTACTTTGAATTACATACATATGCGTTATTGACTCTTCTGGCTCTATAGTAATTTGATTCCAAATATTGCAGCAAAAGCCATTATTTTCTGATGCAGTTCAACTGTTATTGGCAGTTCTTTACTCTGAAGTTTATTCTTCTTCAGGGACTGGGGTGAGATATCTTTAAAATCTTTTGGAGAAGAACCAGTAACATGTGGTCTTCTTCTTAGGCGATCCCTCGTTGGACGAGTAGGATAGTCTTCCAGGATCAGTATTCTTGTGGATCCGTTGGTGGCTGTGGAGCCCTATTCTTGATCTGCATCTTCTCCTGCAGTGAGGGCATTGGTTTCCAGGTCGAAGGCGGTCTCGGTCGGGGTTGGCTTGACGCTTTCCTCTTGGCACGTTTCTCTCTTTCACCCTCCATTCGTGCCTCTTCAAATTCTGCAGCACTGCTGGTCACAGCTGACCTCCAGGTGGAGCGGTCAAGGGCCAGGGCTTCCCAGTTCTCAGTGTCTATGCCAGAGTTTTTAAGGTTGGCTTTGAGCCCATCTTTAAATCTCTTTTCCTGTCCACCAACATTCTGTTTTTCATTCTTGAGTTCGGAGTAGAGCAACTGCTTTGGGAGATGGTGGTCGGGCATCCGGACAACGTGGCCGGTCCTGCAGAGTTGATGGTGGAGGACCATCGCTTCAATGCTGGTGGTCTTTGCTTCTTCCAGCACGCTTCGTTTGTCCGCTTGTCTTCCCAATAGATTTGCAGGATTTTCTGGAGGCAGCGCTGATGGAATCGTTCCAGGAGTTGCATGTGACGTCTGTAGACAGTCCATATTTTGCTGGCATATAGCAGGGTTGGGAGGACAATAGCCTTATAAACAAGCACCTTGGCATCCCTATGGATGTCCCGGTCCTCAAACACTCTCTGTTTCATTCGGAAAAATGCTGCACTCACAGAGCTCAGGCGGTGTTGTATTTCAGTGTCAATGTTGACTTTGGTGGAGAGGTGGCTGCCAAGGTTGCGGAAATAGTCAACATTTTCTAATGTTACACCATTAAGCTGTATCTCTGGCATTGGAGAGGGATTGTCTGGTGACTGCTGGAAGAGCACTTTGGTTTTCTCTAGGTTCAATGACAGGCCGAGCTTCTCGTATGCTTCTGCGAAGGTGTTTAGAGTGGCTTGTAGATCTTCTTCTGAATGCACACAGACAACATTGTAATCAGCATACTGGAGTTCTATAACATGTTGTTGTAACGTGGTATTCATGATGGTATTTATGGTGCAGTGGTAATGTTTTAACAATACATATTGCATTTGTTTTATATCCTTTGATAGAAGTAAGACATTTCCTAGCTGATTGCTTTTTCATCACTTGTCACCACCATTCATATCTATACGCTTTTAAAAAAAGTACTACTGCATCCCCACAAAAGTGAAAAATCATGAATTAAAATATGCTATTTTTTTACCAGAGAGGATACTTCACTAGAAATTTCTAGATCCTCCATCTCAACACTATGGTCAACTTTTACTGGAAGCTGACCATATAATTGGATTGGAAGATCTAGGGATTACTAGAGAAAACATTTAAATCAAATCTGTGAATATTCAAATCCACAAAAGTCAAACCCACAAATGTGGAAGGCCAAATGTTCTTTAAATGTGGTAATTAATGTTTTCTTTTGACCTGATATGGATGCAACTGTACTGTTAAATAGTTGTGGTGATGACTTTTCTCTATGAGGAACTATCCTTACTTGCTACATGATAGCCCTATTTAGATGTTTTCCATGTAGGTACAGTAAACGCAGCCATACACCCTTGATCTCTCCTATTGAACTCTCTTTCAGAAAATAAACCTTCCTTTTCTGTTCAACACTCCTTTTGACAGAGATAAGATCACCACCACACTACCTCACATGTTTATTGTCCCACTTTTGGAACACCTGAAAAAGGCTCATATAATCAGATATGTAGTAGTTTTTTTCAGTAAATATAAGTTTCTATTAAAATAGATGAGACCAATGCAGTCTTGCAAGTTTTCAGTTGCACCTTAACCATGTTTATATTGGTTGTGCTGCCTTTTTGTCCTCTGCCAGCATGGTGCAGTGGTTAAGTGTTGGACTATGACTCTGGAGACCAGAGTTCCATTCCCTGCTTGGTCATGGAAACCCACCTTGAGAAAATTATACACACTCAACCCCCAAAAACCCTGTGAGAAGGGCACCATGAGTGGAAAAAACTGGATGGCACACAATAAGAAGGCTCTGAGGAACTTAGATGATATTAGGCTTTTTTTTTTGCAAGCATATCCAATCATAATACTTATTTCTAAATCACAATATAATGAAAATAAACCATAGTGTTATTGGCAATGGCTAGTTTATGTTGAGATTTCTGCTAACTGATGGTGATTTTTATATTGGAATTTCTTCCATAATATATGGTTAATTGATACCTGGGTAACCTGTCACGTTATGAAATAAAGTGTGGTGTTCACAGAGGTCAAGTTGCTCATAAAATTATTAGTAATATATTAGAAGCAATTCACTCTGAATGGCATACTTGCACTCCAAGAATTTACTATTGCAAATTCTTGGTGTGTTTCATATTATTACCTCCAGTCAGATAAAGCTTGCCTAGTGGTAGTCTGGATTTGAAAATAACATTTCAGTATGCAGTTGGTGACAGTGTTATATTGCCTTTGGGTAATTTTAATTTTTAAAGAGGCGACAATCACATGCTGCTGCATTTTGCAGCTGCCAGTCAGACTCCTGTCCTTTGAGGAAATATTTCGGGGATTTTGTGAGCATAGCTGTGACTTCCCCTATACCTAAGCCATCTCACTGTCATATAAGATATATGGCAGCTGCTAACATTTCATCACATTTTAGTGTGACCAAGACATAAAATACTTCCCTGCATTCAACATGTTTCTTCAAAACAGTTTTTAATGAAATAAAGTCAGCGAATTAGTTGAAATCAAACACCGTACTACATTTAACAGATTTTTGAGAGGGAATCTTTTCATATTCTTTTGGCTAAAAATAAGTAGCCAAATGATACTTCTCTTTTGACGAAAGTATTGAGACAAGTGGCTCAAATTTTTTTCTTAGTCTTAGATCTATGTGGGACTCAATTATCCTTCAAGAAATCCAACCTCAAGACATTTAATTTTAAAGACTGATAAATATCAGATAGGATTAAACTTGGTTCATCAGTGTGTATTCTGGGGAGAAAAATTAGAAAACTGGAATTCTTGGGTTCCCACATTGTTGATTAATCAGGTCCAAAAATTTATTCTGGTCCTCATTTGCATCATATTAGATAATGTACTAACTCATAAAGAGATCCAGAGATAGTATTCCCATGGGGTTCTCTGTTTTAATTCAGTTTCATTGCTAGCTCTTGGCCTAATATTTATAAAGCACAATTGTGTATTTCTCCTGTTTAACTTCAGATCAACTTGAAATGCATGAAAACATGTGAATATTGCAATAAGTTTATATAGGTCGATGGATGTATAGACTGTATTGCATAAAGATAAAATCAATTTGCTAACTAATCCTTTTATCTTTTTAAAAATATATATTAAAAAAAAACAAAATCTAATCTAGTTGTGTCACCATCTGGCTTAAAATTTCTCAATCTAAGTTAAATTAGTAATGATAGACTGCTTGTGTCCTGTTCTTTCCCAGGAGAAGAGGTTGATCGACAGCTGTGCAGAGATGCTATCTATCCAGTCCCCATCGTTTGTGAAGTTCCATGCCCAAAGGACTGTGTACTCAGCGCATGGTCTGGATGGTCCTCCTGCTCTCACACCTGCTCAGGGAAAACCACAGAAGGGAAACAGATGCGCGCCCGCTCCATCTTGGCATATCCAGGTGAAGGTAAGGTCAGCTCCTTCAGCAACCTTGGCATATCGCTATGAATTCCTAATGTAGTCTTTTGAACATTAGTAGGAAGTGGTGATGAATGTTCAGAAAGTATATTGGATTGAAATTGCAGGAAAAGAGATTCCACCTAAACATTAGGAAGAATTTCATTACAGCCAGAGATGTTTGCCAGTTGGATATACTAACTTGGAGTGTGGTAGAGTCTCCTTTAGAAACGGGTAGAGACTGGATGGCAATTGAATGGAAGTGCTTTGATTGTAGTTTCATGCATGGCATGGAATTGGACTAGATGGCCTTTGTGCCTTTTCCAGCTCTATGATTCTATAGCTTCAATTTGTTAGTTTCTGATACTTGAATAACGGAAATATTTTTGAAATATGAAACATTGTTTTTAATGCATTTTCCTAGAAGATGTTTCTCTTCCCTTAAAAAAAAATAAGGGTAACAAATTTAATTAGTGTGTGAGCCCTGATGTTATATATATATACATACATCAGGTCTAGGAAGTTGTATACAAAATTAAGCATTGCAGCTGGCATCCATGAATTAACATGCCCTACACATAAAGCAAAGCATGCATAATCAGTCTGTGGGATAATTTGGTAATGATATAATGAAGACGAATGTGCAGCTATTGTTGCAGAAAAGAAAAGTGTATTTAAATAATTATTTAAATCAGAACACTATCTTCAAGCTCTGTAATCTCTTGGCTATGAAATTTTTGATTCAAAAGGAAGTTTTCAGCCAACAACTCATGAAAATGGCTGCTGATCATTGCCAAGATAATTGCAAGGAAATAATAGTAATTGAGACTATGCAGAATATTTAGGCAGTACATTGCACCCTGGATCGGTGGAATCTCTTAGCCTTGGGTTATTTCAAAGCATATATTCAGTGTTTTATGCAGTGGGCTGGGCTGACAGATATACCTAAGAATTGATGTTTTCAAAATTTTAACTTGATTGACTAGAACACTGATGGGAAATGCATAGCTTTTCAAATGTATTTAACTTCAGTTCCCATCATTATAAATCAGTGGTTATGTTGACTAAAGGTTAATGGAAGTCACACCCAAGAAACTATGGGAAAGCTGCACATTCCCCCACCCTGGGCTAGAAGTTAGTAAAATAAAGGGTTCTAGTCAACGAAATTTAAGTGAAATAACACATTATGGAGATATGGTAGGAAAAACTTGGAATCATATTTAAAAGTCATTCTGTGAATATGTAGTTCTCCATCCTTCTTGATAGTTAAATTTACATTACTTTTGCTTCTCTTGGGCCCCCTTGTGGCACAGCGGATTAAACCGCTGACCTGCTGAACTTGTTGACTGAAAGGTTGGTGGTTCGAATCCGGATGGGGTGAGCTCTCGCTGTTAGGCTCAGCTTCTGCCAACCTAGCAGTTCAAAAGTATGCAAAAATGAGTAGATTAATAGGGACCACTTATGCAGGAAGGTAACGGCACTCCATGCAGTCATGCCGGCCACATAACTTTGGAGGTGTCCACGGAAAATACCAGCTCTTCGGCTTAGAAATGGAGATAATCACCATTCCCCAGAATCAGACACAACTATACATAATGTCAGGTGAAAACCTTTACCTTTACTGTCTTCTCTTACAACAATGGGTAAATGCAACTGTGAATCATAACTACTTCAGGCATAGAGGAGAGATTCAAAAACTTAATTTATTTGGAGAGTTGACGGGAGATAGTTTAATACAGGGGTAAATAACTTCACAAGTAGGAGCCAGATTTCACACCCATACCTCTATGGGCTATATTGTTGCTTCAGAAATAATGTCCTGTCCTTCCAATTGTTATTTTGGCTGAAATCCAAACAAAACAATGGATAGGGTGGAGGAAGGTGTTGTTGTTTATTTGTTCAGTCGCTTCTGACTCTTCATGACCTCATGGACCAGCCCATGCCAGAGCTCCCTGTCGGCCATGGCCACCCCCAGCTCCTTCAAAGTCAAGTCAGTCACTTCAAGGATACAATCCATCTATCTTGTCCTTGGTCTGCCCCTCTTCCTTTTCCTTCCATTTTCCCCAGTATCAAAGCTTCATCTTTGGAAAGTACTTCATCTTTGGAGGAAAGTAAGCCACTGTATTTGCATGAAGTTTGGGGTGGTTTTTAACAGAATACTGGTGGAAAATCACCCCAAAACGAAACAACAACTTTCCACACACATAGCTCTGGGATTTGGGGGAGGGGGTAGACATAATGTGGTGCACAGTCTACACTTTTCTCACCTTTGCTTTAGTACTTAGCTGTGAAAGAACTGCTATGCTCATGCACTTAAAGATAGACTTGCACATGATCTCAATGTCTTATCTAAGAACACAAGAAAAGCATATGATCAGCACTCTGGACAGGAGATGTCTGGGAGAACTGGGCCAAGTATGACATCCATACAAATTAGAAGCAATTTTTATCAATAACAGTTACATGTGTTCTTAAGTAGTTTTATTAAACTTGAGCCCTGGAGACTGCATAGCATTTATGAATAAAAGATCTGCCAGGACCATAATATAATTTGGAAAGTCGCTGATATGTCACTTTCACTTCTCAGAATAAAGTTCAAATCCAGACCATATCAGTTTAAATGATAGCTTTTAGACTTTATTTCAGTCAAATCTATTGTCATTGACATGACACAAAACCACAGTGGAATTTTGTGATGTGCTATTTAATAAATTTTGGCTCTCTTCAACTTCAGCAATATACGATAGTATTTATTCATTGCAGCAGTATATACATAGTTTTTATAAGCCAAAGACTGCTGGAGGCCATTGTCTATTTTCAGTTTTGGTAAAAGTTATCTGTGTCTGTAAATTTGTTCTGTATGTATGTATTTATACCCCATCGTTTCCTAAGACTCCAAGTGTCTTACAACTGATTTAAAAGTACATAGTTAAACATTCACAAAATATAAACTTTTAAAAATAATTAAACTCTCAAAAAGAAACCATTAAAAACATACAAAAAACATACAGGAAAAATGGTTACCAAACAAATTAGAGGGTGGTATTAAGTTTTTCCCTAAAAGTCACCCTTGAGATACCAAAACCTGAAAGAACTTCTAAGGAAATTTATTATGACAAAGAGAGTAATGAAAGAACAGAAAGATTATACTAAGCTGAAAACCGGTTCCACCTTTTCAATAATATTTTTGTTGTCCCAAAGAAATGGAAAATTATTGTTTCCATTTGATGTTTGATGTTTTGTCTTATGTCCGTTATAACAGGCTGTGTTTTATTATTTAATTTTAGTTTGTTAAGTTATAATTCGTATTTATATATTGGTTTGTATAAATTTTGTTAATATGGATGTATTGTTGTTCACCTTTTATGTTTGGAATCTGCCCTGAGTCCCTTTGGGGAGATAGAGCAGAATATAAATAAATTATTATTATTATTATTATTATTATTATTATTATCATTATTATTATTGATTTACATGTTTGTAAATAGGAATAGAAAAAGCAGCAATGGAATATATATTTAGCAAAATAACAGTTACAATCATTATCAATATTGCCATTTCCTTGAACCTATCTTTCATTTTAGAAGTCGCTAATTAGGGAAGAAGTTTGCCTGTTTATTTGTTGTTTTTTGATCTTGCTTTTCAAGTTAGCTTCCAAAGGAGTAAGAACTAAAATTAAATGATTGTAAAGCTAATAATCCAAGAGTGGCTTATTGATGGCTTTCTTCCAAATTTCCCAATCCATTCTGATCACAAACATTTGTCTTCAGGGAATAGTGAAGACATTAATTAAAGTACTGGGGAAATGTTATAACAGTTTACTATCAACTCCAATTTAAATGTGTTGCTACCACTGTTTGCATATTGTAGCTGTCATTTTTAACGTTAACATTTACATTCGAAATAAGTGTAGGCCATATGTTTTGTATTGTTTGTATTTTAACGAGGAAGTTCATAATTTTCTAGTAATCATGGTAATATGCCCATTGCTTACTTAAATCCATTCAGTCTATGATAATGATAATAATAATATCTCATGCATCTGGACGAGCCAGAAATAGAGATTTGCCAGAATCCAGTTGATTCGTTTCCTTTTTAGTTTTCCTGGTTTATAATGTATATAATACCAAACCTATATACCAAACCTAAGCTGAGTTCCCTGAATGCAACTTCTCAGTGATGTCTGCATTGGTGCAAGATGAACTACTATAATCATCAGTGCAGATAAATAGATGATAAAAGGAAGAGGAATCGACGATAAGAGGAGGACCGAGAGACCTCTTTCACAACATCTGAGAAATGAAAGGGAAATTCAAACCAAGAGTGGAACTGTTTTATGAACAGCAAGGAAACACATTACATGACCTAGTAGAAATAAAAATGATGGAAATAATATATGGATAAACTATTTAAAAGAAATGAAATGATGACAAATTCATTTGAAAAAGGTGAACTTCCAATTTTAGGAAATGAAGTGGAAGCTGCACTCAGATTATTAGAAGAAATAGATTACCAGCAACAGATTACATACCCAATAGAATGGTTTCAAGCTACAGAGACCGAATCTACTCTAGTTCTAAATAAAATTATTATTGTTATCTTTATTTATACTCCGGCTTTCTCCCTGTGGGGACTCAAGGTGGCTAACACTGCACACTAAACAAGTTTAAAAGGTGCAATACAAAGGTTAAATAACAATGAAATAGCAGTGTGGTAAAAGCAAATTTATAATACAGTAAATACACTGAAATGGCCTTTAAAACTCATGTTCCCCAATCCCACCCAACCCCCCCCCCCAAAAGCCCACCCCTTACCTTAAATGCCTGTAGACATAAAAAGGTCTTGGCCTGCTTGCGGAAAGCCAGCAGGGATGGGGCCATCCTGGTCACTCTTGAGAGGGAGTTCCACAGTCTGGGAGCAGCCACCAAAAAGATCATCTCCCGTGTTCCCACCAAGCGCGTTTGAGCAGGTGGTGGAACCTCTCCAGCAGATCATAGGTGTCTCCCAGTTTTATATATTTGAATATTATTTTCAGGTGTATCAGTTTATGGCTTCTGCAGTTAGGATTGTCCATTTGAAAATAAGATTTCAAAGCGAAAGCTAACACTTAAGGATTACTCCTAGTGAAGTTACACAAATCAACCCCTGATGATGTTATAAGGATGAAATTGCACAGGACATGTCTAGTGTTGGCATTAAGCATGAATCAATCAGTTACCCAGAATATATCCTTTTTAAAAAGTTTAAAATAAAGATGTGTGTGTGCATGGCTGTACTAAGGTGCTATAGATTTTGAAGGTGGTGTAGATGTTTTTTCATTTAGAAATGTTGAAGAAAGTTGAAGTTGATATCTCTTCAAATAACAGTCAGACATTTCGGTTTATTGATCACTCTAATTGATTAAGTTAGCCTTTCTGGGAACTACTTATCTGATGTTTTGAAATCAAGTGCATATGTATATGTGAATGTTTCCATATAGAAAATTAGGCAAGTGGGATAGTGTCTAGTTTAGAATTCTTATTTCTAGTTTTCTTTGTGATGATGATTAGAGGAACATTCGGGCATGTGAACTCACACCTGCAGATTGATATAGTACAGCCCAAACAGAACTAGGCTGTAGGCTTTCTGTTGCATTTCACTTGTCCTGATTAAAATTCTATATCCTGGCAAATAAAGAAGTGAATACCAAACTTATGAGTTAGCTTGATATTTCACACTATTCACACATTACTTTTTGCAGGTGGACTTCAGTGCCCAAATAGCAGTTCACTACAGGAAACACGCAACTGCAATGAACATCCTTGCACAGTGTATTACTGGCAGACAGGAGCTTGGGGCCAGTGTATAGAAGATGTCTCTGTATCATCATTCAACTCTTCTGCTGGCTGGAATGGGGAGTCCACCTGTGCCGTTGGGATGCAGACAAGGAAAGTCATCTGTGTCCGAGTCAACGTGGGACAAGTAGGACCAAAAAAGTAAATATTGGGGAAAATCTGGTATCTGATCATTCTACATTGCTAATAAGTTCTATTTTCCATTCTCTTTCATTAAAATGGCACACTCTTTTCCTTTCTGTCTCCTCTCCTTCCATTTGTCCAGAATAGTAGCAAGCACAACTTGTAAGAATCAAATTACCTTGGTAGCTCATAAAATCTTTTATTTTTCTTGTTTCAAGTTTTTGTATCTTCACGCTTTGCTTTCTTGAATAATGCAAAGAGATAACTAATGGAAGTATGTAACCGATGCAAGTCCTGTGAATGAAGAACTGAAAGACGCCAGTTGATCTCTTGAATCATCATGTTTATGTCACTTAATATGTTTTTAAGGAGCAGAAGCTGTACATGGAACTGCAAATGAGAACCATTTCTCCTTAATATAAAGTTTTACTGTGATATGACAAAATCAATATTATTGGTCTTATTTACAAAGTAACAGACTTCAGCAAATTAGTTTAGTTTAATTTGACCTTTAATAAGCTTGTATATCAGAGAAAAGGGGGGAGAGAGAGGAGGAGAGGGAGGAAGGGAAGTGATGGGAAGAAGAGAAGAGAGACTTTTGATTTTGTGTCCTTTTGTTTTGATTATGTTATTTCAAATTGTTTTAAAGTTGTCTTAAGCTGCTTTACCCTACAGCTGAGAAGATTGTATTATCAAAAATAAGTTGGGAAGATGCCGTTTTGATTTACTGGTTTATCGACCAAGTTGTAGGGCAGTTATATTCTTAGTAAGTTGTTTTAAGACAATCCAGAATCTAAATACGAATGATGTAGGAAATAGAGAGGTTGTAGCACAGACCAATTATATCATTGAAGGTTCCCTAAGGCAAGGATTAAGATGAACAGCTGAGACAGGGAATAAGATGATGGAGTCACCATATGGTAACAATTTTGTTTGAAATTTTGATAGTCAGTGACATATAGTGGATTGACAGTTCACCACCTCCTAGTTCAATCCAGATGCCACGTGTTTCCCAGGAGAGAATTAGATGTAGGTTCCTCTTCCCAGATGAGCACTTAGATAATACTTTCTAACCAATGCACACGTACGGCTTCTCCAAACCACTGGAAAGCTAGAGTATACATACACATCCAACCTTTATCCTGGTCAGTAAAGCATGTCATAAAGTATAGGACTTGTTTAGAGATATGACAATTTTGACAACATGACAGATTATTTAGTTGTTGCTAAACACCCATGGGCGGAATAGTACATTTAGTAGTGTATTGGAACAGTTGGAAGTCACCCAGAATGGCAAATGTGTATACAATGTTTTTATGTAATTGATAGCTCTTTTGATTTCCATTAATGGAGTGCCCATTTTCAGGCTGTAGGGGTATTGCTACAAGTGAAACCATCTGGAGAAGCATCAGGGTATAATATCATCCCACTATCCAACTTCTAAATCCTAATTATTTTAATGATTCGTAACTCACATTCCTTAACTCTTGCTATCAGCTAGAATTTTGGTCCGGGACCCTCTGTGGAGGCCAAACTCTGCAGATGCTCAAGTCCTATTATATTAAATGGTATAGTAAAATGGTGTCCTTTATATATAGTGGTAAAAATCAAGATTTGCTTTTTGGAATTTTTGGGGAGGCATGGATTATTTGCAAGCCATGGATGGTTGACTCTAAGGATGCAGAATCTGTGAATGTGGAGATCCAACTGTATATCTTCTTAGCCCTATGGACATTTAGCCTTTGAAAAATTGTTTTCAATATGATCTATTTTTCAATTTGGATCCTTTTAGGTGTCCTGAAAGCCTTCGACCTGAGACTGTTAGACCTTGCTTGCTGCCCTGCAGGAAAGATTGCATTGTAACACCATTCAGTGACTGGACACCATGTCCTTCCTCCTGTCAAGAAGGTACTGAGGCTGAGCAGTTATTGGTGGATGACTTCTGACCTAACACTCCATTGTTGTTGTTTTATTTAGCTACTTGCATTCTAGGTAGTAAAGCTGTTTCTTCTGAATTTTTATATCCAGTTAGAACCTTAAAGCATAGATCTCCTAGAGGTTAATCACATAAAACAGGGCAGTCACAATTCCAGTTGGTTAACAATGTGTTTGTCTTGAATGTATCAAACAATGTCACTCCTTTCCTGGTGGGAGACTATTGGAAGGAATTTCTTTCACAAAAGGTGACTATTAACAGATTATATGTGTTTGTAATATATATATATATATATATATATATATATATATATATATATATATATATATATTCCAGGCAGGTAAAAACACCTGGAAAGCAGCAAGAAAGGAATAAAAAGAATAAGAATATATTTATTTATAACCCACTCTCTCTCCCCAAGGAGACTCAGGGTGGTTCATGTCCCCCATGATCTTCTGGCAAACAAATTAGTCAAATGTGGGCTAAGCAAAACTATGGTCAGGTGGGTCTGTAACTGGTTAAGCGAACAAACCCAAAGGGTTCTCACCAATGCTTCCTCTTCATCCTGGAAGGAAGTGATGAGTGGAGTGCCGCAGGGTTCCGTCCTCGGCCCAGTTCTGTTCAACATCTTTATTAATGACTTCGATGAAGGCTTAGAAGGCATGATCATCAGGTCTGCAGATGACACCAAATTGGGAGGGATAGCTAATACTCCAGAAGACAGGGGCAGAATTCAAAACGATCTGAACAGATTAGAGAGATGGGCCAAAACTAGCAAAATGAAGTTCAACAGGGATAAATGCAAGATACTCCACTTAGGCAGAAAAAATGAAGTGCAAAGATACAGAATGGGGGACACCTGCTCAAGAGCAGTACATGTGAAAAAGGTCTTGCAGTCCTCGTGGACAACAAGTTAAACATGAGCCAACAATGTGGTGTGGCGGCAAAAAAAGCTAATGGGATTTTGGCCTGCATAAATAGGAGTGTATTGTCTAGTCCCAGAGAACGCGTGCTACCCTCTAATCTGTCTTGGTCAGACCACACCTGGAAAATTGTGTCCAATTCTGGGCACCAGAATTGAAGGGAGATGTTGACAAACTGGAATGTGTCCAGAGGAGGGTGACTAAAACGATCAAGGGTCTGGAGAACAAACCCCATGAGGAGCAGCTTAAAGAGCGGGGCATGTTTAGCCTGGAGAAGAGAAGGCTTAGAGGAGAAATAAATATGTGATAGTCATAGGGAGGAGGGAGCAAGCTTGTTTTCTGCTGCCCTGGAGACTAGGATGTGGAACAATGGCTTCAAACTACAAGAAAGGAGATTCTACCTGAACGTTAGGAAGAACTTCATAACTGTGAGAGCTGTTCAGCAGTGAAACTCTCTGCCCCAGAGTGTGGTGAAGGCTCCTCCCTTGGAGGCTTTTAAACAGAGGCTGGGGAGTGCTTTGAATGCATTTTTCCTGCTTCTTGGCAGGGGGTTGGACTGGATGGCCCACGAGATCTCTTCCAACTCAGTGATTCTATGATTCCATGTCATGTAATAAGTCCGAGGCAGAAATATAGTTGTCCTACTATAATAGCGTTCTTCTTCTTAGTTCTACAGAGTTAGAAAGACTTATGCAGATAATTTTAAACATATAGCTATATATATATATTCCTCTTTTATCTTTACTGTTTCTTCACTTAGTTGAAATTATGGTCAAGATTCAATGAAATTAACAGTGGTTGTGATGTAGCAATATAGATTTAATTTCATCTCAGGGACAGAGGCCAAAGATGAAGATGGTTCAAACCCTCTTACTAGTGATAAATACTTGACAGAACATTTTTCTTCCGTTTATGTTATATTTTGCATATTTTATGGAAGAAAGTAATAAAGAGATGGCTACGACTGTTTCTTTAGCATTAAATACAGATCAAATAATGTTCACTCTTATATATGAGCACACATTGCTACATTTTCATTGTTACTGTTTTTTCCAATTGTTCAGCATCGTATACTTCTTTTGCAACACAATTATAGTTAAAGAACGTTCTTTAAAAAACTGACTTAGCATTCCAAACACACTTCTGCTTTATCCCATTCTTCCTCTTTGAGCTTAGCAGGAGGCATCCATCTTAATATGCACTATCATAGCTGCAGTCAATAATATAATTCCTTGTTCATATGTGTTAATCCTCCGGTGGCATATGGTGCTTACTCACTGTCACCTATTTTCAAGCGCCATGGGATTGTTGTACTGAAATATATTCTTTATAGTTCACAGTTAATGCTCCTTGTTGTAAAAATGAGGGAAATTCAAAGTCAGTTTTACAGCCGTCCTGGTTACTGATTAGTGCATCTCTTACTAATAAAGGATTAGACAGATTAAACTTGTAACCTTTTGAGAAAATAAAGAGCATGTGGAGACTTAAGGAGGAGCCTGGAAGGTTTAGCTTGATGGCTGGGGAAAAAAATGGAGCATATTCCTTCCGGTAGACATAATGTCAGGCATAGCAATATTAGAAACATCTGCACAATATTTCATTCTGCTTTTCTTTAGTAACAATATGGCATTTTAAAAAAATCAACTTTTTAATGTAGAAAATCACTGCACATATAAAAACACGTGGAAATGAGAGGGGGAGCATAGCCAAAAATATTGAATAACAAGACTGGTATTTCTTCTAATGAATTCACTATTTAGACAGCTTAAATGCTTTTGGACATATCCATTCTTGGCAAGATTGGTTTTAAGAATATCAAGAACTAGGAATCTATGGCCTTCCAGCTGTTGTTATACACCTATCTTTCCAGGCTATTGATCGTGATGACTCAATCCAGAAACATCTGGCAGGCCAGTTTGTCTCACTATTGTATGATTCTAAGAGTTTGTAGGATTTATACTAAGCACAGGGAAATCATCTAATGTCTACATTAAGAAAATGGTAGGGTACAGCTCTGTTAAGTAAAATAATATTGGCATTATGGATGAAAGACTTTGAAAATACGTTGGGGTGGTTTACAAAATACTTGAATGTGAGGTTTGAGATAGCAATAGGTATTTCTTATTATAACATGTGTTATATATGTGTTTAATTGCTGTTGATTTTATACTGTATTTAAGATGTTGGAAGCTACTTTGGATTCCTTTTTGGGAGCAAAGCAGGCTATACATAAAGATTTATTATTATTATTATTTATATCAGAGTGGTGTGACATAAATTTCTGCATGTGGAATATGCATTGATTAGACTACACAGTTATTGTACTGAACAATACCATTGCACCACAGTTGAAAGTACATATATGTGCTTTGATGTTTATCATTATGATTCTGTATGATATACTTACCAAATGTGATTTTTTTATCCTTTACAAATAATTTTTAAAAATTGTTAAACTTTGAAGCCTTGAATTTGAATCTTTTATGTAGTGTTTTCCTCTTGCTCATTACTTTGATTTCAGTATTTTGGTCCTGCGTCTCAACTCAGGATACCTTTTTATTTTTGTTTACAGGGAGCACTTCAATTACAAAACAGTCTAGAAATCGTGTTATATTACAATTTCCTGCAAATAGTGGTCGTGACTGCCCTGATACTTTGTATGAAGAAAAGGATTGTGACTCTCCTCCTGTCTGCTTGTTTTACAGGTGATGATATTCATGAATAATTTTTCTTTTCTTTTAATCTTTCACAATTACAGTTCTGAAAGAAAAATATCTAATTTAATATTTTTGCAAAATTGGTCAAACTATGCATTCAGAGAAATGTGAATTGTATACTATTATCACATTTTGGCCATGACAATGGGCTTTCCTCAGAACTGTTAACTCAACTGTCAGGTTTGCACATTCATTCCATGTTTAAATCGTGAAATAAAATAGCTATATTTTCAAGATATGGAGCTTAAGAAGAACACATATTGGAACAAACAGACATAAAATTTAAAAGGGACATCACTTTCACGTACAGGTTAGACATTTATCTGGTTCTAGCCTGTGAGAGGCAAAGAATTAGTTTGTTCCCATAGGACAAAAGTATAAATTATTTTGAATTATAAAGTCTCTTACCTTTTGTCCACCAGATGCCCTTGAGTTCTCTGGTCTTTCTTTGGACCTCAGCTTTTACACTACTATAGATCTTTTTCTTAGCAGCACAGTTGGTGTCTCTTTGCCATATTTGGAAGGCTTTCCTTTTCTTATTGATTAACTGTTGGATCTCATTATCATTTTCCAGTCTTGATGTTACTTAATTTGGTATCCAATGGTTTCTTCACAGGCTGTAATGATAGAGTTCTTCAGTTTATAACAATGTTCATCAACATTTTCAGGGTGTTCCATGGGTAGATGATCCTTGAGTGTTGGTTGGAGTAAGGCTCATTTAGAGGCCTTTGAAGGGATTGAGTGTTCATTTTATGTCTTGTCGTTCTTCCTTGGAGGATGTGTTTGGGGGCAATCTTGATGACCATCGTGGATCAAATTAACCTGTGCTCTGCCCAGCAGTCATCAGCACTTGTCATGGCTCTTCTGAGAAGCGCATCATGGCGGTCTTTGGCACATATCATTACATAATCTAAGAGCTGCCAATACTTTGACCGGAGGTGCTTTGGTAGTGTGGAAGTAATGCCAAGGCATACTAGCTCTGGGGAATAAAGCCATTGATTTCTTCTACTCCTAAGTGTAAAAGGTTTGTGCGGTAGCCACAATTATGAGTGACAAGTGGCATGTAAAAAACACTTCATAATATAATCACAAATAAGTTCTTATTTTACACATGTGTTTTGCTCATAGAAATTGCCAACCTCAAGAGTTTTTTTAATAGTCGCAGGGTCAGTGTTCATGTCATGCATGGAAATTAAAAATCCCTGGATATAATTTCAGTTTAGCCTTTATTTTTAACTCAGTTTCCACCCATCTCTATAGCTGCACTTGTTAAGGATGATACGTGTTGTAGTCCAACACAGCTGACAGGTATCCAGAAAGTCCATACTCCAAAGAGGAAGTGTCATCTTTCTTGGGGAGATTTGCAAATGAAAATAAACATAAACTAAGTAACAAAAGTTTAAGGGGATAAGAACACCCTATTTCAGAAGTCCTGGTAAGGACTGAGTATGCTCGGTGCACACAGAATACTCACAGCCTGTTGGAAGGAATGGCAGGTGGGATTCTAATTGCCACATTTTTGTAAAAGTTTGTTGAATAAGTTATATTTAAAGGCTCAGAGTTGCTACTCCTTGATAATCTGAGCAACTCAATCACATTCCCTCCCCTTGTAATGTAAATATTAAATTAGAGAGTGGGGGGGGGGGTCTTTTCTAAAGTGTTTCTGAAACTAGACAGGGTCTGTATCAAAGCAATAATAAGTTAACTGCTTTTTCGTTTCTTTTCATTAAGTAATTAATTGTGCCAATGGGGAAACTTCAGGGGCACCTTTTTCCCTCATTGTTAGAGCTATTGGGATGAAATTTGTTACAATTATAGAATGCATGTACAACTGTTAGCCCATCAAGTTTCAGGACATCTCACTCATCCACGAAGTTTTGGGGAATTTTCAAAGTTTTACAAAAAAAATTCAAAAAAAAACCTACAAGAGATATCTCCTTGAATTTTCTATACAATAACACAAGATAATAGGGGATCATTCCCCCCAAGTTTCATACATCTACTGATTTTTGGGGATTTTTAAAAAAATCAACAAAACATTTTTTTAAAAAAGCCAGAACAGCTATTTCATTGAATGTCTCTCATATTAACCAATAGAACTTCCATTTAGGGATTTCTTCCCAGACCAAGACTGATTTACTAAACTTGTATTGAAGTATCAGCCTGCCCTCTTTTCTTTCAGATTTAATAATTTATTGGAACTCTGGCTGCTGCTATGAGAGAAAAATTGCTCCCCTATTCTAATTGGAGCTTTCTGATGCTGAGCAGAATTCTGGGAAAGGTAGTTTAGGCCGGGCCTTTTGAATTCTCTGCTAATAGGGCTTCTTGCCTTCCCAAACTACATTCCCCAAAATTCTGTGTTCTCTCAGTCTCATTCCCAGCTCACTCAGCTTGTCCCGCCCTGCTATGGGTTGCTAATTAAAAATGAAGTTTTGCACACTCCTCGCAAATATAAAAGCCACTTTGAGTCTCTCTTGAGAGATAAATAGCAGAATATAAATACTACCACCACTATTACTACTACTATCACTACTACTAGTAGTAGTAATAATAATAATAATAATAATAATAATAATAATAATAATAATAATATAAATAATGGCAGAACATACAGAGCTCCTGTAAAGCTTTCATTGTCATTATTACTATCAATACTAATATATTGTGGGAGAAAGCCCCTACTTTCAAGAACTATTGTGGTTGGAGTGCATGGGAGATTTTGATGGCTGTTGCTGTCTTTAGAGCAATGGAGTAGCCGAGCCACAAGGAGCTGTCTGAACTCTGACATTAATTCCTTCTCTCCATAATGGGATATTGCCTGGGTTTCACAAGCAATTTGTCATTTTAATTTAGCAATACAAAGGTGGCTTTGTTGAGATGGTAGCATGCTCCAACCACTTTCAAATTCCATGGTTAACCTCATATGCCAAGTATCTGTGAATCCATCATATTGTGTCAGCTAATATAATTCAGATCATAAGATTAGTAGGTGCCAGAGAGTACAGCCTGATCCATGCATCATCCTGGATTTTAATATGTGATGATAATGACTGGGTTTGGGAAGACCAGAAAATAAAATACTTCGATTTGTTTTGGAAAAGATCAGATGTGATCGTAATGGTAATGACAGTTCAATTGACAGAAGGGCTACAGAACTCAAAGCTTACAATTCCCTTATCATAGAAAATTTTGACTCGAGATGTGGCCTACAATTGTCATTGGCCACACCTAACATTGTTAATGATAGAGGACTCCATACTAAAACATCCCATGGTCAAAATTCTGTGCCAACTATAACACATTGGGCTGAACATAGGATATTAGAAGCTTGGCAGGTTCCAACCTATCCTGAGATTATCAGGAAATACAAAAGACTGCAATTTAGTTTAGAAAAGTAAACGTGGAAACCAGTGGGTTCAAATAAATGTGGGCACCTGTGGAAGACTAGGGGCCACATTAGTCTTCCAGGAGAATTTGTAAGGCTGCACCTCCTCCTAAAAATGGATCATAATAATTAAGGGTTTTGTCCACACATACACTTTCTATGGTACATGGCACATGTTTGAAGTCTTTCCTTTTGAACCCTAGGAGAGGTCCAGGGGTACTCCAAACATGATGGATATGCCTTCTAACTCTTGGGGGTCATTTTGGGCATTTCTAAGCAAAACAAATTTTGACCCATGGAGGGGTAGGGGCACTGGGGACCACACTCAGCCAATGGGACAGACTGTCCATATCTGGATTTGAGGGACTAATAGCCTGGATTATTACAAGGCAATGTCTTATGTTCCTATGACAGGTGAAAATAAAATGTATCTACCAGGATCAAATATGTTGCAATGCACAACCAAGTTTGGTAGCTTCTGGCAGCATGTACATTTGTGGGATGGAAGTTTATAAGCACTTCACTCTTCTGGAAGAGCAGATTTGATGAAATTTGGGTTTTGACTTCAGAATTTTTTCAGGCATCATAGCCACAAAAAAGCGACCAGTTTTGAAGTTCCTTGCCAAGGCATGCTAGATAGATTGGGATGAGTACAAATCACTTTCAGGTGTGCTGTGAAAGAACCAAGTTGATTGTTAGCTGGCAGGATTTTCATTCCACTTAAATAAAGCTCCAGTTGAGAAAATTATTTCTCATATTAAATCAATATCTCTCAGAAAAGGGGCCCTCTTCATTATCTTACCTTTACAATACAGATAAAGGTTATTCGGTTAACATGTTTCCTTGATCCTCGCAGCATAGTTAATTGATGTAATTGTAGGGCTTGGGACTGCCAAAGAGATGTGTGTGCATTTAAGAGAGAGAAATGGCAGTCTGAGTGTTGGGTGGAATCAGTAAAGAGTATTTCCTTCTTCCTGTAAATTTCTTTATTTTATTAGGTGCAGATATGTCAAATAGAAGATGTAGCAGTTCAGTTTCCATTATGTTAACTGTAGAAACTAGGCATAAGGGAAGTATTTAACTATCGAGGGAACTGGTTAAGTAAGCTACTGATGTGGATAGGAATAAATATTTAGTGATGATCTTAGTTGGCTCTACTATTAGGCTTAATGGGACAGACACCTCAGGGAGCAGATATTGGAAGTCATAAAAGAGTGCTTAGATGTCCATTTAATTTCTTTCTACATTTATATTGCCAGGGAAGAGATGCTATAGGTGTTCTTTGTACTCCAGGTGCCCAAACTATTTGCATGGCTTTGTGTACTTTTACTTGGTTAGAGGAAAGCATCCTAAAATATCTGTGTCATGATGAGCTATCTGTATCTCTGTTTAACATGTGTGTAGTTTTGAATGTGAGTTATTAGAGTTAATTGAAAACAATCAAGGTGGTTTTTCTTCATTTGTTTGTCGTGTATTGATGTTGTCAGAGTTGGAAGACCAAGTGTTGAAGATCTATCATTGCTAACTAGAACACTCTTTACTTGCATGAAGAATGGATTTGACACATCAAAGTATGACTATAGTGCTTCTCTCTTGAGAGTTAAAAAGAAATAGCTAGTTGGAGTTATAGTTCCATGCCTTCAGATAGTCAAGTCATTATTTACTAGTATTGTAGAATTTTTAAGCATTAGCTGGTTCTTTCCTGTTTCTCAAAAGCAACAAAATAGTTGCTTTTATTTACTGATAAACGGAACATGTCAATGTTCTAAGTTTTTGACCTGCAGTTGAAAACATAGGGTGCCTCTACACTGTAGAATTAATAGAATTTAATACCATGCTGAGTGCCATGATTCAGTGCTATGGAATGCTGTGATTTGTAGTTCGGTGATGCAGCAGAACTCTTTGGCAGAGAAATCTGAAGAATTCGTAAAATTACAACTCCCATGATTCTATCGCATTGAGCTATGGCCATTAAAGTGATGTCAGACTGCATTAATTCTACAGCTTAGGTACACTCACACTCTTCTCCTACTTGTTTGGTTCCTTCAGCACCCAGAGTATGAGGCACACTTAAGCCGTAAGTTGAACACCATACTCTACCACCATTCAGTGAGACCAAACTACTATAGATAAAGTAGTTAAAACAGTAGACCACTAGAAGAATTAAGTTAAACTTATGGTTGAAATGTGACTTGTTGATACTAATTTCGAGAGAGAGGGGGAAGGAATTAATTTCTAATTTCTTTTTATACAGTGCAGAAACAGATTTGCGCCAAGCAAGTCATATTTATAATTTGCTAAGAAGATAGTATAGCCATAGAGTGCACTAGAGTTTCAGTGTTGCAGCAAAAGCAATTGAATTATAGTGGCCATGCCTACAGTAATTTCACACAAACAATCTAGGTCTGTGGGGATGACTGACAGAACACAACAGAGGATAATAACCAGACTATATAGGTATTTCATTGTGGAGAGTTCCATGTATTATTCTCTAAATTGAATGTGAAAAAACACTGGCAGTATTAGAAATGCTGAATTATGTCACAAAATAGAAACTAGGTGAAATAATCTCACACAGTATTTTGTTTTGTTTTGTTAAAACTTTGAGCGAAACAGAGCATATAGTTTTGAGTAGCCTTTTGCAAGAAATGTTTATTTATGAGAGCTGCCCATAGGTATTTCAGTACATGCACACAAAGCAATAAATAATTGAATGGGCTAGGTGTCTGAATAATTCTGTAAGCATTTATTTGTCTAATTCAAATGTAGCTCCCGCACTATCTCTGTATCCAGAATTTCATTATTATTGTTTTTGCTGTTATTATTTTTGCTTGACCTGCATTTTGTATATTGAAATGCAGACTTGCACAAGAACATGTAGCCATAGTTGCCACCACAAGGAAGCATGATAGAAGGGCACTTTCACAAGAACAAATATAAAAATAATGATGGTAGGATACATGCAAATAATTATCTGATGTTAATGTTAAATTTTGTGTTACACAATTGGAGGTTAAAATTCCAAAATGCACTCTTCTTGATAATTATGAGTGATAGCTGTGAATCTGTTTGCATGTAAATAGACTTTCCTAATATGGATCCCCAAATACTCTACAACTCCTATCATCACCTGTCATTGACTATGCTTGGAAATTATTCCATAGCAACTGTAGGTTAAAGTACAGCTCCAGGTTCTTAAAATTTTTTGCATGTTTATTTTTGTTTCATTAAAAACCATATAAAGAAGAAAAGAAAATGAAACACAACAAAAGGCAAGGAAAATTATAGTAGTCTAGCAATGACAGAATCTACGTATAGTCTTTCATGAAAGGCAGTCCCAGGTTCTAATTCTTAGTAAGATGATAATCCTGTGCTTTATTTATATTGGTTGGGAATTATTCAACATTCCAGAGGTTGTTGGATTGTGACTCTGAGCAGCCCTAGTGAACACAACCAATTTGGAGTTCAATAACTTCTTTAAAGCCAATTAATTCCCACTTCTGAGCTGTATCATTTTAGTCTCCAAACCGAACACACTTTCCATGGAAGAAAGGTCCTTGCACAATGAAAGCAAGATATTGGAAAGGAAATTACACTTCTTTAGTGAAAGAAAGTACAAGTATCCATCTTCCCCTGCAGTTTGAAAAGGTACAGCAAATATGCCATTGTTGTCCAAGACAAAGGTCAAGGTGTTGTCCCCTCTGTTCCATTCACAGAAGCTAAGTGGGCTGAATGCCCAAACTTACTTTAAAAATGATGCCTGTATCATATACAGGAAATTAATCTCTGCCCTCCAAGAGGGTGGTGATACCTCAATGACAAATAGGGTCTTCAAATTATGCTTCATGCTTTCATAGAATTTCTCAACCTGGAGATTGGGACCCCTGGGGGGGGGTCATGAGGGGTTTCAGAGTGTCACCAAAGACCATCAGAAAACATATATTTTTAACCCCTTGGCAGAGAAGGCTGAAGATCTCTGTCCTTCTCTTCCTTTTTGGACACAGATGGCAAATCCTCCCATCAAAAGCCCTCCTCCTGCTGTGATTGGCTGGCCTCTCTGCCAAGGAGAGGGGTGTTTCTGACACTCCAAGTGAGGAAGGGAGAGCAGGCTTGCTTGGTGCATGGCAGGCAGCTTGGTGTGCATGTGCGGGTGAGCGAGAGAGTGTGAGGTTTGAGAGAGCTTCGTGCCAGCAAGTCCCTTCACTGTGCCAAGTTTGGTCCAGATCTATTATTGTTTGAGTCCACTGTGCTTTCTGGATGTAAGTGAACTACAACTCCAAAACTCCAAAATACCAAACATAGTATTTTCTGTTGGTTGTAGGAGTTCTATGTGCAAAGTTTTGTTCAATTCCATCGTTGGTGGAGTTCAGAAAGCTCTTTGCTTGTAGGTTAACTATAAATCCCAGCAACTACAACTACCAAATGACAAAATCAATCCTCCCCCCAACCCCACCAGTATTCAAATTTGGGCGTATCAGGTATTTGTGCCAAATTTGGTCCAGTGAATGAAAATATATCCTGCATATCAGATATTTACATTACAGTTCATAACAGTAGCAAAATTACAGTTATGAAGGAGCAACTAAAATAATTTTATGGTTAGGGGCAACGGCATTAGGAAGGTTGAGAAACACTGCCTTAGGGTGTACTGGAACCAGACTTCAGGGGCTACTAAGGGCCCACTGCATGCATTGTACAAAAGGCAACTGGGCATACTTCTTAGTTTAGGATACATCATTTAAATCCTGAATGCTTTTGACACATGAAGAATTGCAAATATTGAAAATGGAAATCCTGCAATAGGTGTCACTAAAAATTGAAATAAGACACCATATCCTGAAAAAAAAATTGTTAACAGCAGTCAAAATATCTAGATCTTTCCTTTAACTTTATGTAAATGAGTAATAGGTTTAGAATGAAGCAAGGGAACAGCAAGTGAAACAATATATTTAAAAGTACATAATAGTCTCAGTATTGTTATATTTGCACACTTGCTTAGCATAAGCTTTTTGAAATGCTCTGGCTTGTTTTCATGTAGTATTTTTTTCCTACAGATGGAAGACACACAAATGGCGCAGGTGTCAACTTGTACCATGGTATGTTCGTCAAGACAGTCCAGGTGCTCAGGAAACATGTGGTCCTGGTCTTCAAGCAAGAGGTTAGAATTAATTTAACTATGATTTATGCTAACAGTCAGTTTCACTGTTCTCACCATAGGGAGACCTTGTGTTTTATCATAGTGTCATGAACATTTCCTTGCCTCAGTTGTAAGGGCTACAGTTTCACTGCATTATCACAAAGAAGGTGCTAATACAAAGCAGTCTAGTTACAAGGATACTTTAGGTGGCCTTTTATTTATAGAACTGAAGCTAGTCATATAACATTTTCTTTCCAAGTTACATTTTTACCTTTTGTGTAACAGCAAGATTTTTATAGTCCTATTGAACAGTTCTCACTGGGGCAGTTAAACAGTTTATTATTGGTAGGTGAAATCTAACATGTATAATATAAAAACTTCACTAGATTTATTTGAGGCTAACTTCTGTTGTAAATTTTTGATCCTTGACAGGACTTGTATGATGAAGTTGAGTTAGAAAGTTCATAACTTCCACAGTTCAGAGATGTCTACTTTATTCTTGAAATGTCCTTTCTGAACCACTGTTGTCCCACATGCTGACATTATATCACCACTAAATTTAAGAGAGGGGGCACCCAGCACCATCTGATGTCACAAAATCATAGAGTTGGGTGAGACCACAAGGGCCATCCAATCCAACCCCCAACAGATGACCATTGAGCCTCTGCTTAAAAAGCTCAAGAGAAGGAGATTCCACCAGACTGGAAACTGCCAGTGTCTTGTGACATGGCACTTATGCTCATTGTAGTACTAACCAGTAGACAATCATCTCCAAGTGAAGTACTTCAAAAATTGTTAAGTTCAACCATGTCATAATGCCTTTGGGTCCTGTGTTTTCCACATGTTTACTTTCTGAGTAAATGAAGATGCAATCCAGTTTTCAGATTTCTGGACCCTGAAATGCAAACCAATGAATTAAAAGAACAAGAAGGTGCCACTGTTAACCCTGGAGGACACTAACATTTGCCCAGCTATACTTGTTGCTGACATTAAGTCTGATTAACATCACAATACTAATGATGTCAGTGATGAAATTTGATGGAAATGGTTGACATATTGTAGTCTCATCCAACCACTTTTTTGCATAGTATAAATACCTTCATGTGAGTATGTACCACAGCAGCAGTATGCAAGCTCCATTCTTTTTGCATAGTATAAATACCTTCATGTGAGTATGTACCACAGCAGCAGTATGCAAGCTCCATCCCAACATTGTATAATATGTCAATGGCATGGTTCACAGCTGAAATTTGCAACAACAGTGAAAGGTATAGGCACACACCCACAATGTTCAATGACAATATAAAGTATAGGGTTCATAACTACAGCATAAAGTGCAAAAAAAGGCACAGATGGGCATGCTGTCTGTGTAAGTTTACTTCCACTGTTATCAGACGAATACATCAATTCCAGAATGGCGATTTCTTGGCCCTACACGGATAACATGATTTACACGTACTTATGTCCCCAAGAGAATTCTAGCCTGTCTTTCATATTTAGCCATGGTGCTGTTTATTTTGGCCTAAGTAGAAAGTGAGTAAAATTGAAAACGAAGAATTAAAAAACATGTATAAGACATTGCCCTTGTGCATTTGCAGACATAATGAGAACAAACTCGTGCCTTTCTTTTACAATTAAAGACTAATAAGTTTGCATTTTCCAGCTTTTTTTATCACACTGTGCTTGTGTGACTGCAAAAGTGCCAGCATGAATCAGAAAATTAGCAAAGTGATTCATCCTCCAAGACAGCTCTGATTCTAGCTGTCCTGGATAATTGAGCCTTTATTTCAAATCATATCAGTGTAAGTTAATATGTCACAATTGTAGACTGAGGCAAATTTCCTTTTAGTTTTGTCAAGAATGTTTTTCTTTTCAGTGTTTTCCTCTCCTATTCCCAGTTCCTTGTTTATATAATTGTATGTCCAGACAGTAAAATCAAACAATTTTTATTCAGTGCAAGTGAGAAAAACTGGCACCGCACCATGGGAAAAACTGTTCATTGGTAATCAGGAATATAGGATTAAACAACAATAAAAACATCCTTTGCAATGAATGCTCAAGAAGACCCTAAGAAATGCAGGTCACAAATAGGAATTGAAAATTCGGTTGTGTGAGCATCTCCATGGATTTCAACTTTGTTCAAATGGCTTAGCTCGGGTCTTCCAAATCTCATATCCCTAAAGCTATTTGCAGAAAACTATAAAATGGGTCATATCTAGTGATCTTATAAAAATGGTCTGAAATGACTTGGTTGAAATAAAGTCCAGTATCGTGCTGTGCATGTCTAGTTTTCCCTTGACAAAGCCATTCCACAGTATTTCATGCCTGACCTACAAAATCCTTGCTATTTTTGGTCAGGAACCTCTCTGGGGTAGAGATTGACAACTGTACCAGGCTCAGTTCCTCTGCTGATATCTTATGTAACCATGCAAAAGGGACTTGAACGCAAAGGTCACTCCACTTGAATTAAAAGGTTTCTTTCACTCTCTCTCTCTCATAATAGTGCAAATGTAGTACATAGTAGCCTTGGGAAAGTAGCACATATCTGCCTACCTCTCATCTTTAAACATCAAGAGGTTTAGTTTACTGGAAACCTGCATGGCAGGGCAGAACAGCTGTGTTGGAACCATATTGCTTGCCTGTTTTTAGAGAATTTTACATATGGGGAAATGACTCCATATCATCTTAAGTTTGTAAAGAAGTCAAATGAAGATATATACAAATCAAGTAACACGTGTTCCTATAATTCCTTAACAGTGTGGGATTTCTCAGCTTGTAGAAGAACGTCTGGATAGGCTCTCCATTTGAGAATAATGTCTAACATATTAACTCTCAAGTTTCATGTAAACTGTTGCTAGAATAGTAGCTTTAGGGAAATAGTAGAATATACTGTTCTACGGGGGAACCTGTAGAATAGCATTTGGAAGTAACATATGAAGCTATGAAAGGAGGAAGAATCCATTAAACAAATCAAACAAAAGCTTTTTGTGTACTTCACTTTGGATACAGATGCCCTATTTAAACATAAAGTTAAGAACATCAATGTTTGGTGCTTTTCCAGGCTCTCCTGCTTTTAGTATCATAGACAGTATGGCTCTCAATAGATTTTGTGCAGCACTAGCAAGAATATTCTATTACATGTCTCATGTGTTTTTGTGGGCTGCCTATAGACATCCCATTGAATTCAATAGGAAGAGAATGCTGGTTTAGAAAAGCCTTTGGTCTGGTCCACAGGGTGGTTTTTTGGTTACCTTTTGATACAAGAGATTGCCACGTGCAATATTTCACCATTCAGTCCTCCACATGATTAATAGTTTTTCAAAAGGAGATCAGTGCCTTAAAAGGAAGCCATGGAATTTAGGGAAGATATAGTATGATACCAATATACATGGTTTCATGTATCCATGATTTAACTTATTTATTTATTTTCACGTATCCATGATTTCACTTATTTATCTATGCCAGTCTCACCTTCTTCTCAGTACTTCCGTAATTCTTCCTAATTGAAAATAATAGAATGTGCTGTTCCTTACAGTTTCACGTATCCATGCAAAGTCCAGAAATGTACCCCCAATGGATAGGGGGTTGTGTTCTTTGTCTTTGAGCATAAGAGAAACTGACAATGATAATGAATGAGGTTACTTAAATATGATTAAAGCCAAGTAGCATGTCTCATCTCAGAGACTTCATGCCATTTAATTCTGTGAGTTCACTGTAAATTGGAGATATCCTTCTTTTAGAGGTGATGTAATTTGGCAGTGTTTGCGCTAAGGATATATATATTTAAATGCACCCAAATGGCACTAATTTGCATATACAGAATGGACTTTGTACCAAATTATCCCCACAATAATCATTTATCAGTTATGGCCTCTCGTGGTATAGTTCAGAAAAAATGCAATCAGCACTAATTAGATCATTTTGTCTACAAAATCTGAAGTGCATTTTATTTCATATCACTCTTCTGGGAGACCCTAAATGTTAAATAAGGGAAGCATGTGTTAAGTGAACAGAGCCCCACACTAAATTTGATTATACTGGCAACTGTGTCTTTGTGTTTTATTGAAAGTGTTTCAGAATTATTTGTGCTTTATCCAGAATAATCACATTTCTTATCCTCATTGCTAATGCCTGTAATCAATTTGATGTAAGTGGATGTTCTTAATTATTAGTCTGGCAATGTGCGATAAGGTGCTCTGGGGTGGCCCTGGATGCCGCTTGCACATATAAAAAAGTACTGTGGGTTTGGCTGAAAGAACATAACTCTTAATTATATTTAGGATTCGTATGGGGAAGTGTTAACTATTCCATCTCTTCTTCCGCAGTAATGTCTGTCATCAAAATTCTCTTCTCCACACAAAGATTATTTTAGTGGACTTCTGTCTATAATTAGTATTTTATCATTGATAGACATTTTGATATCACTGGAAATTCATTGTGATCCAGACTGCTATGGTACTAACACACCAAGTAGACTTTATGATACTAGTTGTTTTTGAATTTTATTTATATATGGGACCCAAAGTGGGTTACAGAGGATGGGAAGTGATTGGATTGTGTGTTCCTGCATAGCAGGAGATTGGATAAGATGGCCTTTGCAATCTCTTCAAACTCTGTGATTCTGTTCCTTTTTAATTCTACAATCTAAGTTAAAATGCAGTAGTAAAAATACATAGTACAAAACTTTATAAAGCATTAAACAGCCATTTCAATTAGAATATTAATTTGAAACCTTAAAAACACACAAGAGAGCAAAGCAGTGCCTGTATTTCCAAAACAAGTAGTATGTACTGAGCAATTGGTATAACAACATCGAGAGGCTATTCTGTTACACTGGCAGTGAATAGGATCTTGGTCATGGTAGATAAATTGTTTTAGGACTATTGGTTTTTGAAAAATCATGTTTAATTGGGCATACAATTTTTACTGTTTGATTTTATGTCGAGTTATATATATTTTTTGCTAGCGGCGACTGTCAATTTTTTAAAAAATTATAAACTTGATTGTTGCTGCTTGTTGTATCTATCTAATGAATAGATGGTCCTTCAAGTATTGCTGGATGGCAGCTCCCACTATTTCTCAGCATTGAATATAGTGGAAAAAGCTGAGAAAGTCGAGAATTATCAGTGGGACGATATATCTCTCCCTCCTCTTACTCTATAACAACCATTCCACGCCTTTCTCTATTTCTAATAATAATTGCTTATTGGACAGCTGACATATTCCTGAATAAAGATCATAGTCTTATAGGCTTTGTTATTCTTATAACTTACTGTTATAGATTTGTGCCTTGGAGGCAAAACTGTATATATCAGTTATAAATGTAGAAAGAGCAAGTACCATATGTGACTCTCGATTTGTATTGGTTAATGAAAGGTCCTCTGTGTGCCACTAAAAAGCCTTAAATATTTGTGTTTCACTTTTATTGAGTTGTTGTCTTGGTTATGTTGCTATATCAGGCCATTTTATATATGTCATTTTGTCATTTAGAAATACTCATGTCACATCTTTGGAGGTATATAGCATGGATGTAGGACCATATAACAAAAATCTTCAGCCACTTGGAGCAGGAGCTAGGCAGTTCCTTAAGGACTGCATTTCTTTAGTAGTAATTTGCCAATGCTGCATGACAGTAATGTGTGACACCAAAGTCACTCGGTTAAAATCATCTTCACCTCTACATTTTTCTTACTCATCCTTTTTTTCGCTCCCCCATACATTCATTCAATTTCACACAGACATATACAGTATCCTTTCACCCCTCCTTCCAGTGCTTCATAGCGTATATTTACAAAGTTATCACTCCTCTCTCTCATATACAAATATGCAACACTTTCATATAAGCAACACATGTAAATGACAGATCTATCTCTCTCTCTGTCTCTCTCTCTTATACTTCTTTCATACTTCTACACACATACATTCACACAGGTGGCAACAACACAGATGTGTCAAGAAAATCTCCTCCTCCTCTGCTTTTCTCCTCTTCTCCTCTTTCTCCACTTCTTTCCCCTCTCTCTTCTCCTTTTCTTTCTCTCACCATTGTTGTTTATATCCTGCTTTTCCAGAAGATTGGGATCCATTACATTTTTCTGCTTGAGGCATGACTACAAATTGTATGCATATACATACCTTGCTTCAAAGTTCATAATACCCAAAGAAGCCAAGTTATGCTGACACCCATGGCAAAAAGTTTGTCAAACTCCTCTTGCTCTGTTAGGCAGTAAAACAACCAATTAAATCAATTAAATAACAATTTGCTGCCCTTTCATGGCAGTCCAGCTCTGTTCTCTGAGGCGGCTGCCTCATACTATCTTATGATAAGGTTTGCCCTGCTAGGAGAGATTCTGATATAGCCTGCCACGTGAAATTATCTTTTGATAGTAAATGAACTGTAAATCTCGGGAGACAATAGACTCTCTCCACTAAGAGCCTAACTTGTAGCTCTACAGGTATTTATTTCTCTTTCTGGTTGTAAGTTCCTTTATGTTGTTGTTGTTGGAAAGACCTTTTCTGCCCTGTGAAGGTTTAAGGTAGTATTAAGTCTACAGAGAATTTCCAGTATCTAGTATTCTAGCTTCCTGCTTTCGTAGGAAGGAAAAATACTTCTCAAGAGAAAATTTTGCTTATTTTCAGAGTGCATGAACATAATTATGGTGTATTTAGCACTAGGGCAGATCGATTCAAATCTCAGTAAACCTATTATTTATAGGTTTAGCTATACAGGGGTGTTAAATTATATAGGAAGATGGGATTTAATAATAGATGGTATTATTCCATCTTTTGTGTAATGGTTTGCATTGTATTTCTATACTATTCTGATTGCATGAATTGCTGACTGCAATTATGTGGGAGATGTGCAGTGTTTTGTATTTTCTCACATTTGAAAACAAATCTATGATGCCAGGGCTCCTCAGGGGAGCTGTATTATTCAACATACTGCCTGGTGTGCTAAATCAAATACGGGTAGCAAGCGTACCAGAAGACCTACTAACTGGTTATAATTTCTTCTGTTTTTCTGCTTCCAGCTATTACTTGTCGAAAACAAGATGGTGGCCCAGCTGATATTGGTGAATGCCTTAAGTACGCAGGCTCCTTACCTCCTTTAACACAGCAATGTCAAATCCCTTGCCAGGATGACTGTCAGTTCACAAGCTGGTCAAAGTTCTCTTCTTGCAATGGAGACTGTGGAGCAGTCAGGACAAGAAAGCGCTTTCTTATTGGTAAGGGCTGGAAGATGACAAGAGAAATACTTGGATTGGTGCTGATGCTGTTGCTTAGTGCTAGTAGTGAAATTTTACTGATAGGATTGGAAACAGATGATCATAAGCTATTGAAGTTCTATTTATTTCCCTGAGTCTACTCTGAATCTGACTGATCCCATCCCATAGAAGGGGTAGAATCCTGACAGTGAATTCTCAGACTTTTCTCCTAGATCCATCCAAGGTCAATGGAATCTTAAACACAGGGTAAGTGGGTGTAGAATTGAGCTCTAATTAACCAAAACTCTCACCCCAAATTGAATAAGAAATATAAGCAATATGTCTCAAAAATGATACAGAAAAGCTTTTTCCTGAGTTTTTTTGTGTTGCTTATATGTGTGGATTTGCTATACATCTACACTTTTATACTCCAGTTCTGATGGATATTTTTCTTGAGCTGAGAATAGAAAATTGCTCCTTCTAGGAGCCTTAAGAAGCAGACATTTTCTTTTAAAACAAAGCACAAGGCTGAAGAGAAGGTCTGGTGAAATCCAGATTTATTTATTTTATTTAAAAAAGTAAGAAAAGTTAATTTTGTAGTAGGTGTGGCCGTTGGATGTCCCCAAGGCAAACCCCCAACCTTTCTCTAAAGCAATTGGACATATCCATATTCCAAAACAATACTGCCTGTGGCCTCAGACAATCAAAGAGTAGCATCAAAATATGTATCTAAGAATCTCTTCTAGGTCTCCATGGAGTGACATGTGGCAGTAAGCATTAGTGCTGCTCCATCAGTTCAGCCCTGATACATAGTGCAGTGACCTCAGAAGAAATAAAGTCTTTCCTTATAATTTATTGTAACAGCGTTTCAGTTACAGCCAACACAAGAAAAGGATTTACGCTCCATCTGCTGCGTACATGTAGATGATCAAAGTAATGCTTGCAATCTGCTAGGCAGTTGTAACAGAAGGGTTGGATATTTGTGACAATGAGTTGCAAGCCATCTTTCATGATTGTGGCTTTATTTGAACATTACCATTTGTACGAAACTTCCCAAATACAGATTTACAATCAGAAGGTAAAGAGATATTGAGAGCCACTTACAGGAGGAAAACTTCAGAAACATGGTTACATATCTTGAGTTGTAATGTCATGTACAGTTTGTCTGCTTCAAACTGAACTAAATAAAATTTTAGAAATGAGTATGCATTGTTTTTGCAGAATGGTACAATTGAAAGTCTTGGATTTGAGTTTGAGCCAGTAGCTAGCTTTCCTTCTTTATTGATGAAATTCATCTGGATCATAGTGGCAATGTCACAATTAGACAAAGGATTTGTACAAGTAGGAGTATTATTAATCCTGAGTGCTAGAATATTTTCCTGGAAATTTCTATATAATCTAAATTATAAAGTTAGAGAAATGTGGGGAATGAACTATTTATTTTTGACAGAGAGTTCTTTTTGCTCAGACTCTTGATTATTTTTTGTCCAAACAGAAATTGGTCTAAAAATATTCTATGCATTACCTCATTTGGCTCCCTTCCTCTTTGGGGAGAGTAATTATTCATGAGCCATTGGAAGAGTTCATAGTTTGAACAAAACAAAGAATTGCTCATGCTGTATTGACTGTCTCTGTAGTATGCTGTTAAACATTTTAATGACCCATTGTCTTTCTGGGATACATAACATCTCATAAAAATTGTATATTTCTAAGTAAAGGAAAACATTACAACATCAATTTATGCTACAAAATAGACACTGATTTCAGATTTAGATTGAGGTGATATGCTTTTCAAGTAATGATGCATCTAAAGAGAGCTTTCCACAAGACTACTTCAAGCTATCAAAACAATGAGACTGGTACTAAAAGATAGTGAACATCAACCTGTGACAGTTTTATATTTGGTTCCTAATATATATATTACTATTTGTTTGCATGAGACTTAAAACATGGGCAGATGTTCTCAACAGCGCTGGAAATGTTGAATATCTCATTGGTTACAATGGGAAGGACATTTTCTCAAAGGAATGAAAGAGCTTTCACTATTATAGATCCAAGGTCATTCTGTTTCACCTGCATTTGAAGTGCCGCATATTAAAGGTTTACATCAGTTGCTGCCCAGATAAATTAAACTTATATTAAATTCTAGTCACCTACAACTAGGGTTACCAGAATAAAAACTGAAGACTGGTTCTGTATTTTTAAATGGTTGTGCAGAAAAGGTCATTGAAACAGGTGTTGCTTATTACAACACTTGAACCCTCCCTCCTCACGACCTTTGAAGCTACAGGAACTGTTTCCAAGAGTGGGCAGCTATGGGTTGTGTTGCAGCTCAGGAGACCTTGGAGGGCTACACCCTCCACTCCATAAAATAAACATATTTTGCTCCCAAACACCTTTTATGACAGAGCTTTCCAAAGTGTATGTTGCGACACATTAGTGCACTGTGTAGGTGTTCCACACAAACAATGGGAAAAATCTTGGAAATGCATATTACTATCTTACAAATCATGTATGTTTTATAAATATAAATTAAATAAAATTATAAAAAAAGGTTTTTATGAGATATTCTGTTCCCCCACACATTTTGTTCTTGCAATTTAAATATGTGTTCATATCTCTTATAAGAGGTTTGCTAATAGAACTGAATTATGGTGTCACAAAATGATGCACGTCTAAAAAGCATGCCACTGACATGAACTATTTGGAAAGCTCTGCTCTGTGGGGTTTCAACATACCTTATTAAACATCAGGATATGATTGGAAGTTAGTAGCAGTTCCTATCTTTAATTTATGTCTGATTCCAATATTTAGAAGGCAAAGACCTGCTTTTATGCACTGCTTGATGTAAAGGCATCTGGGATGAGAACAAGAGAAGAGGGTTTCATCCAACCAACTCACTATCAGACTTTGTCACCAGAGTTACAGCATTAACCTGGATCTGAGACTCCATTGCACAACAGGAGCATTTGGGTGGATGTCATACATTAAGCTTTAGTATTGTCCTCATTTCTACTGGAATACTACTTAGGCGATCCCTCATTGTCCAAGTAGGATTGTCTTCCAAGATTGGTGTACTGGCGGTGGGTATGTAGGTGACTGTGGAGCCCTGTTCTTGACCTGCATTTTCTCCTGATAGTAGTAACACTACTAATAGTAGTAGCACTATTCCATGTGCTACTGGAATAACAATACCGCATAGCTGTGTTAGCAAATATGCATAATATAGGAGTTGTTGAGATGATTTTTTAAAACAAGTCTATTATCTCCATTTGCTCAGAGCTTGAGAAAGTTACTTTTTTTGGACTACAATTCCCAGAATCTGCTAGCCATTAAGATTTGCATTTACATTTGTTTTGTTTGTTTTGTTGTGTGCAAGTTTTTTTGTTTTTTTGATGTTGTTTTTTTTTTTACTTATAGTGAGTCTATGGTGATGGAGTGGAGATTCCTTGGCAAAATTTATTCATTGCCTTCCTCTGAGGTTGAGGGAGTTTAATTTGCCCATAGTCACATAGTCAATTTCTTGGCTGAGCTGGGATTTGAAGCATGGTCTCCTGAAGATCCAATCTATACCAGGAAAATCACTATGCCATTCTGATTCTCTTGTTTTATATAGAATGCCATTTTAGCTAAACTTCTGGAGTGTCAGGCCTAGGGTATCCTGTGTGAAGGCTTTGTTTTTGTGTTAATACATTTAAGAAAAATCTGTTCAACTAGTTTTGATGAAATAATATTTCTTTATGTCTTCACTCCAGATGTCAGAAAACTCTCTTTGATGCTTTTCTTCCTTCCTTCCAGGAAAAAGTAAGAAGCGGGAGAAATGCAAAAATCCACAGCAATATCCATTGATTGAGACTCAGTTCTGCCCATGTGACAAGTATAATGCTCAACCGGTGGGGAACTGGTCAGACTGCATTTTACCAGAGGGCAAAGTGGATGTCCTACTGGGAATGAAAGTACAAGGAGACATCAAAGAGTGTGGGCAAGGCTACCGTTACCAAGCCATGGCATGCTATGATCAAAACGGCAGACTCGTTGAAACAGCCCGATGCAACAGTCATGGTATTTGAAACACTTCCCTTTTTCCTTTTCTTTATGACAGTAAATTTTTTATATTATGGGGAAAGCAAAGAGATTTTTTTTTGCCTAGGAGCAGAAGGCACTGTTTTGACAGTGTCTTATCCAAGTGTTCAGAGTCAGTGCAGGTTGAATAATTTTTTTCAACATACTGGATAATGCCTTATCTTTTCAGGTGTTTTGCAGGTAGGTTTGTGTGTGAATTTATTTATACACAGAGAAATACACACACATATAGTTGTGTGTGTATATAGTCAGAGCAGGTTCATTAAAATCGTTCGCATTTGCAAACTGTTACTAACTATGTTGTTCATTCGTTCAGTCGTCTCCGACTCTTCGTGACCTCATGGACCAGCCTACGCCAGAGCTCCCTGTCGGCCGTTACCACCCCCAGCTCCTTCAAGGTCAGTCCAGTCACTTCAAGGATGCCATCCATCCATCTTGCCCTTGGTCGGCCCCTCTTCCTTTTGCCTTCCACTTTCCCCAGGATCATTGTCTTCTCTAGGCTTTGCTGTCTCCTCATGATGTGGCCAAAGGACTTCAGCTTTGTCTCTAGTCTCCTTCCCTCCAATGAGCAGTCGGGCTTTCTTTCCTGGAGGATGGACTGGTTGGATCTTCTCGCAGTCCAAGGCACTCTCAGAACTTTCCTCCAACACCACAGTTCAAAATCTCTTCCTTCACTCAGCCTTCCCTAAGGTCCAGCTCTCACATCCATAGGTTACTACAGGGAATACCATGGCTTTGACTAGGCGGATCTTTGTTGCCAGTCTGATGTCTCTACTCTTTACTATTTTATCGAGATTGGACATTGCTCTCCTCCCAAGAAGTAAGCGTCTTCTGATTTCCTGGCTACAGTCTGCATCTGCAGTAATCTTTGCACCTAGAAATACAAAATCTGTCACGGCCTCCACGGTTTCTCCCTCTATTTTCCAGTTGTCAATCATTCTTGTTGCCATAATCTTGGTTTTTTTGACGTTTAGCTGCAACCCGGCTTTTGCGCTTTCTTCTTTCACCTTGATTAGAAGGCTCCTCAGCTCCTCCTCGCTTTCGGCCATCAGAGTGGTTTCATCTGCATATCTGAGGTTGTTAATGTTTCTTCCAGCAATTTTCACCCCAGCTTTGCATTCATCCAGCCCCGCACATCGCATGATGTGTTCTGCATACAAGTTGAAAAGGTTGGGTGAGAGGATGCAGCCTTGCCGTACGCCTTTCCCAATCTTGAACCAGTCTGTTGTTCCGTGGTCAGTTCTGACTGTTGCTACTTGGTCCTTGTACAGATTCCTCAGGAGAGAGTCAAGGTGGCTTGGGATGCCCATCCCACTAAGAACTTGCCACAATTTATTATGATCCACACAGTCAAAGGCTTTAGAATAGTCAATGAAGCAGAAGTAGATGTTTTTCTGAAACTCCCTGCCTTTCTCCATTATCCAGCGGATATTGGCATTTGGTCTCTCGTTCCTCTACCTTTTCTAAACCCAGCTTGAACATCTGGCAACTCTCGCTCCATGTATTGCTGGAGTCTTCCTTGCAGGATCTTGAGCATTACCTTACTGGCATGAGAAATAAGGGCCACTGTACGGAAGTTTGAGCAGTCTTTCGCATTTCCCTTTTTTTGGTATGGGGATATAAGTTGATTTTTTTCCAGTCTGATGGCCATTCTTGTGTTTTCCATATTTGCTGGCATATGGCATGCATCACCTTGACAGCATCATCTTTTAAGATTTTAAACAGTTCAGCTGGGATCCCGTCGTCTCCTGCTGCCTTGTTGTTAGCAATGCTTCTTAAGGCCCATTCAACTTCACTCCTCAGGATGTCTGGTTCTAATTCATTCACCACACCGTCATAACTATCCTCAATATTATTATCCTTCCTATACAGATCTCTTCTGTATAGTCTCGCCACCTTCTCTTGATCTCTTCAGCTTCTGTTAGGTCCCTGCCATCTTTGTTTCTTATCATACAATTTTTGCCTGAAATTTACCTCCAATGTTTCTAATTTTCTGGAAGAGGTCTCTTGTCCTTCCTATTCTGTTGTCTTCCTCCTTCCATGCATTGCTTATTTAAAAATAGTTCCTTATCTCTTCTGGCTAACCTCTGGAATTGCGCATTTAACTGGGCATATCTCCCCTTTTCACTGTTTCCTTTTGCTTTCCTCCTTTCTTGGGCTACTTCCAGTGTCTCAGCAGACAACCATTTTGCCTTCTTGGTTTTCTTTTTCTTTGGAACGTACTTTGTTGCCGTCTCCTGAACAATGTCGCGGACTTCTGTCCATAGTTCCTCTGGGACTCTGTTTACTAAATCTAGTCCTTCAAATCTGTTCTTCACTTCCACTGTATATTCGCTAGGAATGTTAGTGAGATCATATCTAACTGGTCTGTGTATTTTCCCTGATCTCTTTAGTTTTATTCTAATTTGGGCAATAAGAAGTTCGTGATCTGAGCTACAGTCAGCCCCAGGTCTTGTTTTCACCGACTGGATGGATGTCCGTCACCTTTGGCTGCAAAGGATGATGGAATTACTGTCTTGTAGTGTCACAGGAAAATCTTTGTACATTTCTGTACGTATTTATTTATTTATTTACAGTCTTTATATTCCGCCCTTCTCACTCCGCAGGAGACTCGGGGTGGATTACAATGCACATATACATGGCAAACACTCAATGCCATTAGACATACAATATATATAGACAAACACAGAGGCAATTTAGCATTCCAGCTTTCCGGCTTAATAAAGGTATGCTCGATTCCGGTCACAGGGGGAGGCAGTTGCTTGTCTAAGGAATTGAGAACAATATAGAGTCAATTAATCTTTGTACCATTTGATGTTGTTCAGTCTGGGAAGTTGGGAAGTTGGCGAGTAGGTATTCAATCCTGTACTATCGTTTAGCCTCAAAGTTTCTGTCATTGGAGTACACATCCCCCCTCCCCCTGTGGGAAAGTTTGATCCCACAATCCCCGCTATAACAAGTCCTCCTCCGCAAACAATTCATTTCTTTTTTATCTCACCCGAGTTTTTAACCAATTTTCATGAGTCTTTTTTTCTTTTAATCATTACATGTAGCCCACCCACTGTCATTGTGATTGTGTTATTGTAATTTTATATCGTTATTTATTCACATGTTTTATGTTATTAGGATGTTGTGCTTTATTTGCATTTTTGGTTTGCGTTTTCAGTCTTATTTTATTGTAATTTTGTTGTTTGGGCTTGGCCTCATGTAAGCTGCTCCGAGTCCCCATTGAGGAGATGGTGGCGGGGTATAAATAAAGATGATGATGATGATTTTTATTATTATTAGTCCTGACTTAGAAATGATTGATTGAGAAGTGGCCTTACACAGATGTCAAAACCTTGATCTCATATGATCTTTCACTATCAGAAACGCAGCTCAGGAATATAGGACTACCTTTAGGATGCATCATTTCTTTTGACAACCAATAGAATTGGGACATTACCATTGTAGTATAGTATGAACTGGTGCTTCCAGTTTTTGACTGCTTCTTCCATCAGTCAGGAGAGTATCATGTTTGGCATAAGGATGTGAAAATTGTTTTGTCTCAGTTTCATGAAATTGTACCTGAACACAATTGCATTTTCCTTCTGTCCTTATTTTATGGTTGGTTAAAAGATTTTTTGTTTCATTCTTGTTCTGAAATTCATATAGTGTTGTAGCACATCTTCCTAATGTACATTTATATGTGTAATTTACTTCATTTATGTTTTTTTCTCACTGACTAAAATATGTCTTTCAGTATTTTCCACCAGTTTATCCCCTCAATTTTTTTTAATGAACATTAGTCTGTAATTTATATCTTGGGATGCCATACAAGCCTCACAAGTGTTTAATGGCTAAAGATGAGGCATTAATTTTGTAGCAATGTGGCTAGCAGTGTAAAAATGCTGCTACTGTTATGACTACCTAGTCCAATGAAATGTCTTTACATCCATAGCTGGAGAAAGCTGTTAATTTGCTATTACATTGCACTGAGATATTATGTTATGCAATGTTAGTGGCAGAACTGGGAGCTTCTTCATATTTGTGTGTGTATGCTTAAACTTAATGTGTACGTACAGTTTAGTTTTTTAAAATGTGTTTCCAGTTATGGGTAGGATATCGGTAGTCTCATTTGGGAATTTGCAATTCTCTTTGTGCTGTGTTACAAAAAGCAGCCCTGGGAACTTTGATGATACTACTTTCCTGCAACTGAAAGAAGATAGATTACTTATTATTGGTATCTATTATT